GTTGCCATAGGAACTTTGTTGCCACTTTGTGGTGGGAATGAGATGAGGGACACAGCAGTCGTGCAGCAGGTTTGCAAGGCAAGACTCTGCTGCTTGCGCAGAAGTTCTTGTGCCATTTACTGAAAGCATACAGGCGAGTAAAAGCTGATCATGCGACAACAGTATGAAGAATAAAGTCTGGAGGGTGGGATAGGAATAGGGGACAACGTCTTACAGTGGACAGGGAAGGGGACATCATAGCCATACATCAAGAGCCATTTGCGTCAGCAAAGTATTTGATGTTATCACAGGCAGAGACCACCATGACCTGATCACTAAGAGAATAACCTATGTTACCGTCTTAAGGCCAAGGGCTCCAGCCCTTCCTTTACTGGAGCCCAAGGCCTTATCTCCCGCTCTCTTGAAAGACAAAACCCTAGGTTCCAAAGATCAGCAAGCTAAGCCAACATTTTAAAGCTATTTAACACTATGGTTCCTGCTTCCTCTTTTCCCTCACTTTGATACCAGGGAATTTCCCTGTACATTTAAAAGATATTTGTGACTTACCTAATGTAATTGTTAGTTGCTAGTAAGATGAGTTTTAGATATCTAGTTTATATATTTATTTGTAAATGCTTTTTACATATTAAGTATATCAGTAGCATATTAATTATATAGTTGTAAATATGTTCCTAGTTTGTTGTTTGCCCTTAACTTTATTCATATTCTCTTTCCCTTCACAGAAAATTTAGATTTTTATGTTTTCCATTTATGGTTTTGTACCTTTATGGCCACATTTAGAAAGGCCTTCTCTACCACAAGATAATCTACCTTTACTCCCTGTCATTTTTCTGGTTTACTTTTTCAATGAACTTTATAGTTTTGAATAATTTAGATTCAGAAAAAAGCTACCCAGTATATAAAAATTTTAAGTTTTTATTTTTTAACTTATTTTTATCTCCCTGAAATGTATTATATATGTATTCATTTATTTAAAAAATAATTTTTAATACCAACTGTGTTCCAGGTTCTATCCTAAGCAATGAAGAGAGAAATAAGCTTTCTCTTTTAATAGAGCTTATATTCTCAGAGGCTAAACATACGATAATTTCCAACATGCTTTGGAAAAAGTTGTTCTATTGTGTTTCTTATCTCTTTGTATTCTAAGGCTATTTATCTTGCTTGTTTGTAAAGTTAGAGAAAGCAGAAACTATATTTTTTAGGTGAGTAAAAATACATCATAAGCATTTAATATAAGAACATATAGATATATATGTGATGTATATATATCCAAGTCATTTACATAGATACATGTTTCTTTCACTTGTTTACTAGGTATAGAGCAGGACTATTAAGTCAATTGAAACCCCTTCTGTGTAATCAGTGATGCCCTGAGTGCTTTTAGGGTTTGATAGTGATGAAAGTAATAACCACCGCTCACACTGAGTGCATACTCTAATGCCATGAATTAACTCATTTAACACTCACAAGTTGAGATTATTTCCATTGTCCATAATTTTTGGTTGAAGAAATTTAAGCTTAAGAATTTACAGCCTATAAGAGGAGAGCCAGGTTTGGAACTCAACTCTTTGAATATGAAACCTGAGCTAAGATCTACTACATTTTTAACTAAATTCCCACTACTCCTTAGCAAGGAGTGCTGATACTACTTTTGCAGTCATATGTCATCTTTTTCTCTAGCACATAATATTCCACTTCAACCTCCATACCATGGCTTGTACTGAACTGCCTTTCTGTACCCCGCCCACAACAGTATACTGTATTCTTTCCTCTTCTAATTTTCAGCTCAGTCTTGGCTTCCTTCTAACAACACTTACCTTTCGTTTTCTAAATTTCTGAAGCACCTTTATTCTAGGCTAGTATCTTCAAACCAGAATACAAATACCAGTAGGGCTACAAGAAGTCTTCCCAGAGTACATAGGAATAGGTCATTTTAAATTATTGACATCAGCTCCTCAGTTTCTATTCTTTTCTAAAATTTCTCTAAGTATTCCTCTATGAGGACATAAGGCTACTTCCTTCCCCACTACCCCTATCTCAATTACCCTTCTTTCATTACATAAAGAAAATCCAAAAAAAAAGGAAAAGTTGAGAGGGAATGTCCTTTACACATACTGAATTTTACTGTGATGAATTACCTTGCAGTTTTAAAACTTCCAGAAGCACCAAAAGAGGGAATAATTTAAAATGTTATTATTAGTATAAGAAAGTAAGTGACTTATGACTAGGCTAAAAATTTATTTTCAACCAGGCAACTTCCAATGTTAACAAAACTAAAGAAAGACCAAATTAAAAAGCAGCTGGTAGATCATTAAAATCAATTTTTTTTAAAAGATTTATTTGTGCATACAGAGCTGGGGTACAGGCCAGAGGCTCAGGGGTGGTGAGAGGCTTCACCAGAGACAGA